TTTGTAAGGGAAAAGCTAAGAGACCACACTGATAAAAAATTAAATATTAGTATAAATATATATGTGACTATTAAATTCAACATTTTATATATAATATTTAAATAAAATTTTAAATCCAAATATTAAATACAATGCTCATTTAATTGCATGATCTAATATAAAAATATTATTTCAACTAAAGTAGTTCCTATTTGATTATTTTAATTAAAAATAGTTTTAATGTAAAATACATTTTTAAATATTAAAATCAACAGTAGATGAAAATTAAAGCGAAAAATGTTAAAATAAAGTCCAATATATATGGATTTTTTTCCTGTGCAGCAAACGAAAAAATTCAATCAAATTGAAATCAAAGTAGTTTTGACCTTGGTGTAGTAATTTTTTCGGTGGGTGCACTTTACCTTTTGAGGAAAGAAAAAAACAGATTTTCTTTGCTGTGCTATCAGATTTTAAACTCAAATACGTATGACAAGCATTATATGCCCTTATGATTTTATTAATCAATTATGACTTTTTTTAAACATTTTCTATCCGACAGTTGAACCCTTTTGTTTATTGATTGCAGTTTGATTTCCAATGAATTCCATTCGTCGTTGGTCAAGGTCACCAGTTTGTTCAATTACTGCAGCTGCTTTTGTTATTATTTATCGCCCTCCTCTTTTTTGTGGTTTTTTTTTCTACCACAAAGCGTAGTAGCCGCTGGTCAAAAATGAGCAAAGCAAATCATGAGTAAATGTAATTTGCCATGAGTCCGTGTTTGGGTTTAGTTCGATATGTTAATTGCAATTCGGTTTTGCATAATTAATTTAAATTATAACCCACGTTTTCCACTCACTGTTGACTTGTGAACTCACTACCATCGGGCAAACATTTCGCAAGACATCTGACAGAACGAAACTCAAAATCAAACGAATGACTTGGGCAACGAACTTGTTTCGCATATTGCACACGACAAAAACAACAATGGCAATAACTAGAAAAGCTGCAAACATTTGCCACTCAATCAGCAGGCCACAGGCAACAAGCTAGTGCAACTAAGGCAACGCACACAAATTGCTTTAATTACAACAAATTTGTTTGAATATATATCAATTTGAGGTATTTCAGCTGAGTTTAAGCACGTGCACTGGGAAAAAATTTGTGTTTCTTGAGCAAAAAATGCATTTAAACTTTTCAGGAACTTAAAAAAGCTTGAATATCAAGATTTATAAATACTTGTTAAGTTGATGTTAGTTCTTTAGTATTAATGTCTGTAAATATAAGTAATCTTTAAAGTTTATTATTATTTCATTTTTAAATACTCCTTGTAAAATGTTTTTTTATGAATTCTGGCATATTTTTTATCGCCTAATAGAAATTAAAATATAAAAGCGGTTTAATAACTCTTTATAAAAAGCTAAAATATATATTTATTTATTTATATATTAAATATTGTATAGTAAATATATATAAATTCCTAAAACCGCCATAAACGTTTTTTCTCAGTGTAGTCTAAGCAAAAGCTCTGTGAATTTTTAGTCGACACCTCAGAATCACGCCGACCGTTCACGTCATGCACCCGCAGCTAGAAAAATATGGCCAGATCTGCGGCTCTCCACTCAGCCGGACTCAACTCAAGTGACCAGAGACTCGGATCTTGGAGATTGCTTGGATCTTGGATCTCGGATCTGGGATCACTTGGTCCGCTGACATGACGAGCCAAGATCGGGCCAAGATTGCAACTGCTGCGGGCCACTTGGGCGTTGCGATTCTGTGATTCTGCGAATCCGGCTGCCGACTTGGTCTGGGTGGTCCACTATCTGCTGAAACTCCACGCCTGACTCATAACTGTTAAGCTATGCATTTGCGGATCTGTTCCGCTGAACTGACTGAAATCCAGCGGAATGGGTGAATAATTAAATCGAAAAGGAAACGCGCACTATGGCCAAAGAGTTTCGCATTCACGAATTTGCAATTGTCATTGTTTGAGTCTGCTCTAGTATGCTTTAACTGGACTTGGCTGGGTGTTCTGGTGTCTTGTGAGTGGCCTATGATTGTTCAAGGAATTTCCACACATTTAACTAACGGGTTAGTGCATATGCATACCTAGGAAACGAAACCTCTTATCAAGGAAGTTGCGAGAACTGGTTTAAGTCATTGCGTTATTAGTCAGCACTTGCAATTGAAAGTTTAGGGGAAATGAACTATGGAGAAGTATTCTATTTAACAATCCAAACCACTCCCCAAGGCTTTGTAGTACCAATCCTACCTCTTCACCAAATATGGCTCAATCATCCATCAAAAGGCAATCAATTACTGCATTTTTGCTCGAATCCAACGAAACCTACTTTTTTAAAGTCTCGACTGCGAAAATTCAATTAATTGGCCATGGTGGTGCGTCATTTTCCGTAAACAAAGGACGTAATCAGATCGTGCTCTAATTCAGCCAGCCTAAGCTGAACTCCGAGATTCAGTTTGAATCACCAGGGGCAATGGTTAAAGGGGTTTGCAACAATTTTACATAACATACTTACAAGAAAGAAAAATAAGATATTCTTTTTATTTTTAAACTTTTTTATATAAAATTTAAAACTGGCATTGTGGAAATTTAACAATGTAATTGTGTCCACTTTAAAAATGTAAAATTATAGAAATAAGACACAAAGGATTAATACTTTGTAAATAGCCGGCATAATTTAATTTTGTGTTTATAGTGCTCCTCTTTCTTAACAATTAATGTACATTTTCAATTGTATATTGGATAAATCATTTTTAAACCTTAAGGCATTTAAGGTAGGTTTCTAAATTAAATCGATTTTAAAAGATTTAAAAGGTTTTAATAATTAGAAAATTTTAATATTTAGAATAATCATCTATGCTTTGCTTGGAATTAAGTATCTAATTTAACTAAGCCTCTATCTTTTATGAACCTCCTTTCACTAAGGTATTCCATTTTTTTGAATTTTTTTAAATTAGCTTGAAACTGCATAAATGAGATTTTAAAATATGGAAACAAGATACAAAAAAAACAAATTTTTTCTTACTTATCATCCTTATTAAGTTAGTTATAGTACCCCTCTTGAAGTTACGCTTCTGACTCCAGACCATTGCGATTACAACTGTTAGTGATCCGTTACACGTCGTTTGCCGTTCGTCGTCGCTGTGTCGTGCTAACCTTGAGATGATTACTTCAATTTTTTTAGTTTGCGATGCCCAGCTGGGCGTAGAGCGGTAGGGGGGTCCAAAGGGGGAAGGGGAATGGCAGAGCCGAGCTTACTAATTCGAGACAATTTATTAAATGAGGCAAAGCAGGGCAAGTACATAGCATAAGCCCAGCAAATATGCCATAAAACAAAGCAAGGCAGCCCCGAAAATATGACAAAACAAAACGCTATTTTTTATTTTTGTAGTTTTGGCCTGGTAATGAGTTTGGGGCTGCACTGGCGGATTTTTTGGCCATAATGATGTGGCGCCATGCTGCTCCCCACTTCCACAGCGTCTTCGGGTGTTGCCCTCTCTGTATCAAGACCCTCTTGCCTTCCCATTTGCGCAAGATTGGTTTAATAAGCAAAACGGCCTACATGGCAATTAAAAAAAATTGCAGTAGGAACAAGACTAGTGCACTGGAAAAACATTCACCCACTTTTTCATTAAGCAATCAATAAATGCGTATTAATAAAAGTAAGACTTTTGGAACATAAAACAGAAAATTATTGTTATATTAATTTAAAGCATTTTGACATTGTTATTTGTTATCAGTAATTTAAAAATGGCCAACATCAAAACGAAATCGCTGTACTAAAAACTACAATATTAGTTAAAATATGGTATAAATCCGTTATTGTTATTATATAATATGAAGGGCGTGGCCAACTTTATTTATTGAACAGGATAAAACTAACCTTAAAATAAATTCTTTAACTTATTTTTGTTTCACCTGAACTATTTGTTTTTTTTCAGCATCATAGGAAATGGAGAGCAATAAAAGGAACCATAAACATTGTGCTTAAATTAAATGCAATCTATTACACATTTAGTTTTGGTATTATTTTTCATTTTATACTGAATAGAAGGTTGAACTAGATTTTATTTATTGTTCAACAATCCTTGTGCCACAATTCTGCCCTATATTTTTAGCTATGTATTTTTTTGAAGTGCACAATAGCATTAGCTGGAAGTTTTTTTGATAGACGACGCCCGCTGTAAGCAAACAAAAAAAAAGAAACATAGAACATTGAAAACATCGTCTTGCAAACCCACGAAATAGACGAGCGAACAAATTGCAACATGCACTGAGGAAAAACTATGCGAGGGAAGATGAGGGGATGGAGGGGGGGTTGGGGAGCAACACCTCCGCCCACCGAAATGCAATTTTAACTTATTTCAGCCATTGTCTTATTTTATTCATAAGTATCCATGTTTACGGCTAATTTTATTCGTGCTCGAAGATTGTTTTGCGAGGGAGCCTTTGCTGGAGAGGCCATTTCAATTAAATCGTGATGGGCGATGGCAATATATAGATAGCTTACCTTTTTTTTCCGATCATGATTTCATAATTAATATGCCATAATAATGGCCAATTTGATATGTTAATGTTTGTTTAACTTTTAGCTGATAGAACGAACTGTGGTATCGAATGTCGAGTCTTATCCAATTTGAGGTTTTTCCCTTCCATTTCACAATTATTTCGTTTTCGATTTCGATTTGCATACATCTCGACGGAGTTATCTCACAAATCAGACAATTTCCAAAGACAAACCACAGCGAACGCCCGCTCCACATTCAACTGAACTTCACTCTCGTTTTCTGTTTTTTTTTTGTCTTCAAAAAGCATTAAATAATTGTGGATTGTTGAGTGCTGGTAGGGGAAGGGGCAGTGAAGGGGGTACCGCAACTTCTTGGGCTTCGCTCCGCAAAGCTTGGCTTGAATTGCCGCTGCTGACCGACTCGCATTCGGCTTTTTGTGGCTCGGTTCGTGTTTGGCTTGCTCGGGCGTTGTCTTGTATATAAAAGCGGCTTCCTTCTTGGTTCTAGTTATCAGTTGAATCCAGCTCAACGTACAGCGCACACTCTCGCGTCTACTAAATAATCCCAATAACTCAAAAACTCCATTAGCAATGGCATTCTTCAAAGTGAGTGAACAGGATAATCCGCAAAAGTGCCCTGTGATCTAATTAAAAATAACATTATAATAATAATAACCCACCCCCTTGTGATCTAGTCCCTGATCTGCCTGGCCGTCCTGAGCGCCGCCTCCGCCGGAGTCCTCCACGGACATGGTGGACATGCTGGTCTCTACGCCGCCGCCCCGGCCATCTATGCCGGCCACGGCCATCATGACGAGGGAATCGACTACCATGTAAGTACAAGAATACTCCAGAACAAGGGTTCCTGAATCCAAAAGGCAACATAAAAGATCTTTAAAGCTTTTGCCTCTTTGACTTACCCCTTTAAATCACTAAAAGTTGGTTAGACTTAAGCCAAAACTTGAATTTCTCTACTACGGAAATTGTAGTTAACTATAAAGTTAACAAGTAATAACAAAAGGATTGCGATAAAAAAAAAATTACCATCATTCTTTATTTTTAACTGACAATTTAAAAGTAAAAATTAAATTTAAATTTTTGAGAAAAAAAAAACAAAAAATCCAATTGTTAAATTTTAAAATTTAAGTTTTTAAGTATACCACCAGCAGCTATAAAATTTACCCGAGCTTGCCAATTTAGACAAGCATTTTGACCCAAAAAATTACTCATACGACATGTTAACCTTTTCCCTAAAAATTACTTATACGACTAGTAATTTTTATGCATAAAAATTGCTCATACGACCTGTAAACCTAGCCAAAAAGTTGACAAACACTCTCCGATGAGTTACAAACTTTAAGCCAAGCAATCAGGCAATCATACAATTATATATAATATGCCCTAAAATGGACACCACCAACAATCGGTGGCAGCCTTTCACCCACTCCTCTGCCAAAAAAACACAAGATGCTGGCCCAGGGTCATTGTGGCTTTTGACATTTGGCGATTTTCCCACGCCATGTCCATTAGCATAGAGTGGCGTGTGGCATGAACATTAAATTAGCACCCAAATATGCACTTTTCATTGAGTTTTTTTTTTTTGTTGTTTTGTGTAATCCATACAGGCCTACCCCAAGTACCACTACAACTACGGAGTGGCTGACTCGCACACCGGAGATGTGAAGTCGCAGCACGAGGTGCGCGATGGCGATGTGGTGAAGGGATCCTACTCCCTGGTGGAGCCCGATGGTTCGGTGCGCACCGTGGAGTACACCGCCGATGACCACAACGGCTTCAATGCCGTCGTCCACAAGACCGGACCCACGGTCCACCATGCCGCCCCCGCCGTGGTGGCCCATGCCGCCCCTGCCGTTGTGGCCCATGCTGCCCCCCAGTTGGCCTATGCCCCGGCCGTTGCCCACCATGTGGCCGCCGCTCCGGCTGTGCCCTACGCCGGATCCCTAGCGCATCATGCCGCCGTGCCCGCCTACGGATATGCCACTCACAATGCCCACGCGCATGTGGCCCACTACTAAGTTAGCCAGGGTTGGCCAACTGCACCACTAGCAACACCACCACCAACCACCAACCACCACCACTCTTCTGTAATTTATTTAAGCACGTTGACGACCTCACAAAACAAAGGATGATTTGAGCCTGCTACAAATACTCAGTACCCCAGTCATGTCCATCGCTTAAAGGGGATTCCCCCTTGCAGCATCTCTGTCTCCCTCTCCCTCTCACTCACACACACACACACATTGCCGTCTCTGTCTCAGCTTTCGCGCAATTCTCTTTTTTGTTTGTTATCCAAACTTCTCTTTTATTGTAAATATCGAAAAAAACGAAAAGAAACATGAGTGAAGGACAAACGCCCATCATGCCAACACGCCCACGAAGAAGAACCAAGCAACCTGCAAAAAGATGAAGAAAAACGAACAAAACAACAAAAAAAATTATAAAAAAACACATGTATTATAATAATTTTGTGTATACTTTAAGTTTGAAGCTGATACTGCTGACAATGCTATTAAATACAAAATGTAGAGAATTACAAAAATTCAATTATCTTTGGTTTTTATTTCGCTTAAGGATTTAAACAATTTTGTCTTGCTCGAACAATGATAAAGTTTGAATGTCTTAATTATATTTAAAATAATAATAAGAACTTGGTTTAACTTTTAATCCAACAAGGTTAAATCAATTTTGTCTTGATCAATCGATGATGAAATTAAGATGCTTATTTAATTTCTTTAGAAATTTGACGAGTATCAAAAGTAGTAACAAATAGACAAAATTAACCAAACTCAAATTCGAAAAATTGAACTTAAAAATTTGGCTAAAAAACTATATTGCTCTTATACAATTTTCTGTTGATCTCCTAAAATATTATTAAAACAAATTAAATAATATAAAGTTACAATAAATATAGGTAGAGCAATTCTAAAAATATTACAAATTCTTTAAATACGATCGATCTTATAAACATTGTATTCTTAACTCGCGTGGCTTTAATTAACTATGAATCAGATTGAAAAGCTGTTTTCCATTTCTGATCAAGAATACATTCACTTTCAATCAGTAATCGAATCTATCTATGGCTAATTATGGTTGCCATAAATTATGAAAGTTATGGAAATTGATGGGTAGAGCACTTCGTTGAGAGCACGTCACTTGATTGACAATTATCGAGCTGGCTAATTTGTGGGCGTGAGTGGAAAAGGTGAAGGTAAGCATCGTCGATTGATTAGCATTGGATCAGCCAATAATTAGTTGGTGTTTATTAAATTATAAACTTATCAACTGAAGAACTCTGACATCTGTACACGTGCATTTTATCTTAAGATCAGCTTTGATTTACCTTGACATACAATCAACCGGAATTTGCAATATACCAATATATGATTAATATGAATAAAACTTACATTAATATTTTAAGTGTTATTTCTTTTAAATTTAAAGATACAGATCTAAAGATATTAGAGTACATAAATATTAAATTAAATAGATTTTAACAAAACGCTATAAATTTCTTTAAATAAAATTGGCTGAGAGACTTAAGGATTCCTAATATTAATATTTTCTTTGACTTTTTTGTATACAGCTTTTAGGCTGTGTTTGTCTAACTAGCTTAAAGCTCGGATTTGAACATTTTATTTAGATGCTTAGATAAATATTAGACTTGAATGTATGCTTTTTGGCTGTTTTATATAATAGAAAAAAGGAAAGCCTTCTTTTATGCAGGTACTGTTATTTTTTTAATATTAATCTTATTAACTCATATTTAATTTCCAATATATTTGGATTTTTGGCTCATTTCCGCAAAAAAAACGCGCCGAAAAAAAATGTTAAATGAAAATATTGATCCTTCTTTCCAAAAAACAACTACAAATTACTTCAAACTAACATAGTTTTGCAAAAAGCCAATAAATTATAAAACAAAATTTGTTGTCTTCCTCTTATCGTATAGTTAATTGCTTAATAACAAATTCACAACTTGACAAGGTCAATGAGTGCCACTTGGATAACCACATTTTCCCTATCTATTTACGCACTTTTACTTTCAATTCCCCCACTGGAAGCCACCGCAGAAAGATGCCCCCGGTGGTGCTGCCCTCCAGTGCGGTCACAAGTTGGGGGGCGTCTTTCCGCTAAAGACAATAAACACATAAAACATAACTCTTAAAACATTTAAGTCACAAGAGATGAGTGTGTGTGTGTGGAGGCTTCCGCATGCAACAAATCTTCGCATTTCCGTCACTTTTAACGTGCGAAAGAAACTAAACAAAGCCAAATATTGATCTCTTAATGGGTACAACGTGGTTTCTGTTTAGACAAATGCCCAGCGATCAAAACAGAGACATCCAAGAAAATGGTTCAAAAATGCTGGGTGAGGGAAAAAAAATTTATCAGAGATCAGTGATCACCGAAGCGTTTAAATGTGCGCATTTTTTTTCTAGCCTTTTTTGGAGTTCAAATCCAAAACAAAAGGGTGAATCTCTCATACGTGGTCTCCATTAATATACTTGATACGAGAAATAAGACCGGACAGGTGACGCCTTTGGGGGGCGGATTCTCCAAGCAGTTAAGGTCGAAATGGGAAATGCCGGAAGGAAGTTTCCGCCGGCTAACTAGATCTCAGTTTAAGACAGGTGTACTATGCACTATACCTCTCCCTTGCGTTAAGACAAAATCTCAATGTCGAATAGAATGTAAAACTTGAATCTTGTATCTATAGCTGCTGCTCCAATAACCTTTAGTTAGCCAGCAACTTCTTCATACTTAAATGACAGTTACTAAAGTCTCGGCTTTATGTTTATCTTTCTGTTTCTTTTTCTGTTTTTCTGACTATGACTCTGACTCCGGACCAGTTGACATTCAAGATGACTGCCTCAATAAACTATCGCCAACACGTGCTCTCTATATGGCATCGATTGCACTTATTGTACCGCGGTATCTCGGTATCTGTGAAGCGGCAACATTAAGATGTAACCTCTAAGATATGCATCTAAGCTGAAGCTGATACAATTTATAGATAATAAAATACCTCGACTACTGGCTACTGGTTTTAAGAGATGCGCAGAGGGGCTAAGAAATGACTTGCAGATACATTTGTTTGTTGCACAGTGTCAAGTGATCGGATTTGCATTTGTATCCAATTTGTAGAGCTTGTGATAGGAAAAACATGTGTGTGTTATTTAGAAACCAATAATAAAACGTGACTTAGAAAAATAGGATACTGATAAGAACAAAATAAAAAGCTAGGCGAATTTGAATTAAATAGTATATGTTAAATGCAAATTTGCAAACTAATTAAATTTAATTATTAACTGGCGCATTAATCTAATAGTATTGAATTTGTAACGTCGGGATAATACCAAAAATCAAAAAATGAAATGTGTAAAAGAGTACAATATTATACAAGTTTAAAAAAATAAATTTATACGCAATGTGTAATAAAAAGAAATTTTTACTTAAATTAAATAGTAAAATAACCGAATTAATAGCAACTAAAATATATAAGTAAGTATTAATCAAAATATAATAGGAATTAACAAATTTTTTGTAGCACCTTTAAAATCAGGCAATATATTTTAAGGTACAAACATTTTTTTTCGTAATTTCCATATTACGCATACGCAGTGCTAGCCCCCAAAACTTAAGACTTCCACTTATTTTTCCAGCTCACTACAAACCACTGTCAAATGCTAAATGTCGTCTGTCTGTCTGCGTAATTGAAAAATGCCATTAATTGTTGATTAATGTTGGACAATGGGCAAATGATCGGACATTATTAAGCAGAAGTTAAGTAGAGGCGATCATAAATAATAAGAGCCAACGACAACCCATCTACTCAAGTCAGCAGTGCATAATCAGCATGTCGACTGTCAGAGTCAATTATATAACAATGTTAACTGGATTAGTTGGGCCGTTAATTTGATGCATGGCAAACAGTCTGCAGCAAATTGGCCGCCGAGGTGCGAAATTTATAGTATTGTAGTAGTAGTGGGCCAGCGGCGGAGGAAGAGTCGGACTTGTCAGAGGCAGCCATTCATTTGCATTTTATTGCCCCCAACGAATTTGCCACGGGTCATTCTGTAACAGGCTGGCCTGCTTAACAATGGTCACTCAATTGGAGATGCGGCAGTACAGCTGAAGGCACTGGACCATAGCCAACTAAGGGCGACAACAATGACAGCCGCAAGTTGGCAGTATTATAGCCGAGAAACAAGACCAAAAAAACCGCCCACACTCGACTTGCAACACCCCCACTTTATTCCATTCCCCAATGTTGCAAGCCCTTGTTGTCGAAGTGCTCCATTCCATTGTCAAATTAGGCAGTGTGCAAACAAGACGAAATTAGGTGACCAAAGTAAACCATGTCAAAGTCAGCAGCCTCGATCCAAGCTTATGACTCGTCTCTGGATTTGGCCAAAACTGCGACCTCATGGTAATCGCATTGCCAACTCCCCAGAGTGCCGTAGTTTAAACAGAATGATCTTGCCAATGAGGGGCCTTTCAGGCAATGGAAATGAGGCATATTCATGGAAGCAAAGGAATTCAATGTGACTGGAGTCTGGGTAGATCCTCAAGCATACTAATTTACAGCCATTGTATATTCTTTAAATGAACAATATGAAATGATATGATGCCTTAAAATATGGATAGGTTAATAATCATCTGCTGATCTTCAACACCCTAAAAAAAACTGAAAGTTTTTTAGAGATAAACTATAGACAGTATTAAAGAATAAGTGTGATACATTTTATGTATGTTTTAAACAATATCCTTCACAAAATAATTACGGATATTATTGAGCTTATAAAACTTGTATTATATGAAAACAGATGCCAACATAGAAGACAGCATCCGAATTCACTAAAGTTACTTTAAAAATACTTAAAACTAAACATGAATTTAAAGACATCTGCATATAACCATGAAGTTAAATTTAAACAATTATAACATTTTACTTCCTAATTCTAAATGCTTTGTTCCCATCCCACATAAACTTACCCCTTAAAATGCCGCATTTTAGAACATTTTAAAAGAATTCTTCTACGCCGTTTATGAATTTTCTTTTTGCTTTGTTGTTTTTTTAGCCGGTTAAATATATTTAAGTTAATTGCCAGAAACCAAAAACAATGCCCAGCCACGCACATGTCTGTCATGATGCCTGCTTACTCAGCAAAAAGAACGGGCTGGTAACTGCATATATGGAAAACCTTCAGAAAATACCGACAATCGCTGAGTGAATTTTCCCAAGTCTAGAGGTAAGTAGCAAAATGCTTCTTGGCGGCATGCAAATTGACTTAATCTAGTATTTAGTTTTACAAAAACCGCAGTCGAAGAGAGACAATTGTTTCCAAGCAAAGTCGAAGGTCTGTTGGTTTTTTCGGTTTTTTGGTGTGTTTGGTCGGGTCAGCTGCGGATTACTTCTGAAGCTCTCCTCGCATTTTAATTAGAGTCTTTAGCGCGCCCCTCGCAGCGGTTAATTGTGTGAAAATGCCCAAGAAATGCCGACCTGGACATTAAATAGCCCACATTATTAGCCGTACAAAAAGCTGCACTAACTACAAGTTAAGGCTTCTGCGGTCTAACAATAATTTGGATTAGCTTGTAGGCTGCCAGACAGACCGCAATTGGCACGTTCTCGTCTTGACTCAAGGGTGTGCAATAGCCATAAATTAAAGATTGAAAATCTGTCTCAAACGGCTTTTGTTGGGGTTGAAAGCCGCGTGGAAGACGAGTGCAATTTGCATAGTTTTTTGGCTCAGCTGAACTAATTTTAATTTTGTCAAAAGGCTTCTAAATTATGCGGTTTTCTGACTACATTAGTTTGTTTTGGAAAAAGCGTAACATTTAATTTATTTGTTTCACAATACTTCCATACCCTTAAAAGTTTGGAACAACCTACATCTGTTTAACAATATAAATTTGATTTATATTTTTAAATATAAATTATTTGTTTTAAGAAATGGCTTTTTTATATATTTTTTGTATAGTCCCAAGCTCGATTATATAAAACTATTTGTTTAGTGAAAAGGATTTGTAATAAAAAGTAAAATTACATAATGTAATTTAATTAACTAAGAATCGTTTTATTTATTTATCTAAAAGTTAATATAATTTCTTTTCAGTATTATCGGGCTGATTATTTTAAATTAAAATTTATTTTATTGACAGAGTTTTATCCTTTTATCAGATTTTTTAATAGTTAGTGCCTGAAATGTCAGATGCACGAATTCTTATGAACTACCACCATTTAAGTGACAAATAAAGTTTTGAAGATTTTATGAACATTTTGTATGGTCCAAACCAGATTTTTAAATACCTATTTAATTTACCCTTGTTTAAAATAGCTTTAATTCATCACAGTATCTTTAATCTATATTTTCTGAGTCATACTAATTGTTGTGCTCAAAGCAAAGGTCAGATTTGCCACAGCTAAGGAATACCATTTACTTAGAGTCATAAATTGTCCTGCTTCGAAGACGTGGCTTTCATTTTACCCCAGAATTGAAGCCAACTTTGAAGTCTAGTTTAATGCGCTTGACCTTCAGTTTGAATGCTGACAAAAGAGACAAAAGAGTTAATCGGGGTCCAGTTGTTTTAGAATTCGTACTGGTGGTAGTACTTGTTACTAACTTTAGCCGCTGCCATTGAAGTAGATCACTGAGAATTTCGCATGTGCCGAATAACTAGGGCCTTATTGTGCTGCAAATTGCAACTTGACCCGATTTGCGTTTGATTTACATTACTTTTCGGTTCTTGTCAGCGATTTATTTCGGTATCGGTATCGGTTTCGAGTTCTTTTGGCAAGCATTAAGTTGTTAAGTTTAAATTGGCCAACAATCATTTCTTGCAGAAAACAAGGAAGGAAATTAATGATTAACTCGGAATGATTAATCTGGCATAATTCTGGTCTGCAAAAGAGAAGTGATTGTTCCAGTTGACTTCATTGTGTGGCGTAGGATTGGCAACGGATTTTGAGAAATGTGTCGCAGATCGCCCGACAAAATCACACAACGCCACCCCATTCAGTGGATACAGCGTACTGTATACAGTATACAGTATAGTGGATGGATTGGCAACATCCCATGGAGCAGCAGTAGTGTAGTAGTCCATGCTGCAACTCTATTTCCATTCACATGGAGAAGACTGGATCACCATTCGCCACAGCCGAGTGACTGAGAAATTCAAGAGTCTTGGCATTGTGGCTGCCCTCTGTCGACTTCTCTGCCGGCGTCGACTTCGCTGCCCGCGGCTTTCGCACATTTCGCGCTTATTTAATGGAAACTTGCTTTTAGAATCGCCACAGTATTCCGGGCAGCTTTGCGGTGTTTGTATCTGGTGCCGTTGAATTACTACAAGTAAATTTTTGATAAAATTCGAAAAAAAATCCCTATCATAGTGAAGTGTTTACTAACGGATACGCAATTTGGTGTTTATTTTTAGCAAATATTTTTCACGTTTCAAACGCATTTGAACCAAAAAGTTTATATTTCCTAAAAAATAAAATGGCAAACTTCGTGTGCTTCGTGATCCTTTCGTTGGCTCTGTTCGCCAGTGTTGCTGTGGCGAAGCCAGGATACGCATTGGACTATTATGTGAGTTTTGAAGTGGAATATTATTAAGGGCTTAGCCCTAAATAATTTAAAGAGTAAATAAATAAGGAATTTTTTGATTAATTTTTGTGTTTGAAAATAAAAAGCTTATATTTAATGTTTCTTAAAATGTGTTTAAAAGTTACATAAAATACAGTACAAATAATGAGTTTCCATTGCTTCCAAATAAAATTTCTTTAAGAGGAAGGAGATCCTTATATAAACTTTATTTTAGTTTATACTACATTACCATAATACATATGGTTCACTCATTACGGTAACAAATGCTTAGTTAATTTAAGTAGGTGTTTTGATTTATATAACAATATTATAAAATAATTTAGTATTTATTTAAAGGCACTAGTTCTGAAATTTCGGAATAATCTGTTTTTTTTCCTTGAAATTTTCTAAGAAATTCTAAATTTATTTTAAATTTTTGTAACCAGGACCATCCCAAATATGCCTTTAACTATGGAGTGGCGGATCACACCACAGGAGATGTAAAATCGCAGCATGAAACTCGAGATGGCGATGTAGTCAAGGGTAAATCAAATACAGATAAATCAAAGTTTTTTGTATTTCTATAGTGCTGTCCTTTAGGTCAATACTCTTTGGTTGAACCCGATGGTTCCATCCGCACTGTGGACTACACGGCGGACTCCATTCACGGCTTCAACGCGGTGGTGACCAAGTCGGGACCCACTGTGCACGCCCAGGCGGTGGTGGCCAATCCCATTGTGGCCCATAAGCCCATTTTGGCCCACTACGAACCACAGGTGGTGAAGCACGTGGCTCCGGTGGCTCATCATGCCCCACTGGTGGTGGCCTCCCCGGCGCCCTATGGTGAGTAAAAAACTTTTGGGGAGGGTACACTGGTAAAAATCGTAGTAAATCAATGTATTTTATACTCAGTTTAAATGGTTTTTTTTTTGTAATTGATTTCTAAATTTTAAAATTTAATTTATATAAAATTTTGTTTTCACTAGACAGATATTTATTTTAAATTTTTATTATTTTGTCAGTCTTTATATGGTTTAAGGGAGATTTAGGGATCTAAGGTTTTATAGAATGGCTTAGCAGCACCTTCCATAGTTGGCCTTCACCTCTGGTGGCACCACTTCTTACCCACGCTCCTAAGTAGTCACCCTCTTTTGTGGTTCCACCCACCCATTCCCACTTGTTCTCTGATTGCTTTTCCAGGCATGAACACATATCGCATGCTCAAGCTGTTCAGGCGGCATGCCAACTATCTGAACAATCAGTATCGCAAATTGCGCCCAGACGAAGACGACTACACCAACGATGATAATAATGATGATCTGGGTTTTGACGCTGATTACTATGCAGCCTACTGACAAAAGTTCTGTGATCTGTCTGAATATCTTACCATAATTGCATTGTAATCTCATCATTTCTAGCTTGGGTGGCAGTAGTTGCATTGGCAATTTCATTCAATAAATTGTAATTAGTCTTACATTTGTGGCCAGTCAGGCAGCTAAGCTGAATCATGGCTTGTAAACTGGGTTGGAAATGTGTAACATCATATGGTTGACTAATCCGCCGACGACACGCCTCTTTACAGTGGGTTACCTCACTTTGCTCCGATCGTAGATCGTAGCCCAAAGATCTAGCTTTGTTTATGCACTTTCGGTTTCGAATTTCCCACACAGATTATGTCAGGTGCATCATCTTCCAAACGAAAAAAAAAAAAAAACACAAACATCCAACCGCAGCATAATTTTCACGAAAATTGCCGCCGTTTCTTCTTCTTCTTCTTCGGCACTTTTCCCTTCACCCAAAGACTTTAGCATAATTTTCTCAATGTCGCAATGCCTTGGGCCTGGGAATACACCTGAATACATGGTGAATACACACTCATGTGAAAACTCATAATTGTTGTGGGTGCTGCGGTGCAATTTTAATTGAGAATTATCAGCACAACGCACAGCGAAAGAAATCAGCGCTTAAAACAAAAGACTTAGGCAACGAACTTGTTTGCATACAAAACGGTTAAGCAAAACAAAAAAAGCAAGAAGGCAAAGGAAAACAAAACCAAACAAAACAAAAAAGAAAAACAGCACCTGTGACCAATTGCCTGACAAATTCGTGCACAAATAAATTATTTGCAATGGGGCCTAAAGAAATGGCAAAGAAAATGCCTTGGTCAGCATTGAATTGTTACTTTATTTGTCTTCGCCAGTTGAGCTACTTACCAACAATGGCAAAACGGTTAACAGCTGTTACAGCAGTTTACTTCTCGTTTTTTTTTGTCGGTCATTATTACAACAGCGCCGGAGAGCGAAATAAATTTAAGTCAATCACAAAAAAGCTAAAGTTTCTATATGTATTCGATCTTCAAGTGGCCAAGCACTATGCTCCGACGGCGGCAGCTGCACCCATCCACTACGACTACGACGATGGCTACTACAACCAGGGCCAGCAATATGAGTACATTCCCCAGTACGACCAGTATAATGGACACTACGGCCATTATGCGAGTCCCTACGCAGGTCACTACTAGTATGGACGGATGCATTTCGTAGTCGTTTAAGCCCACTTAGTTCGTACACCACCCCGGAAATTCAACGGATTCTCTCAGTGTAGCTTGCAAAGGAGCTTTGAGATCTACGCTACGCACGAACGAACAAAAGGGAACAACATCAAGGTTAATCTTACTTAAGTTATGTAACAAATTTGTAAAATAAATATTCGAAAAAAAGTTTAAGTGGAAATACAAAAACTAAGTGTGTTTTCTTTGGTACTTTTGCTAGGTTTAAAATTATTTGAGCCCACTTAGTAAGTCCGCCTCGAAAATTCATCGAATTCTTCCAATGTAGCTGGCAAAGGAAGAAACAAAAGAAAACAATATCAAGGTTAATCTTAGTTAAGTAATGTAACAACAATTAATTTTGATCTTATTCCATTTTCGAAAAAAAATCAAAGCAATTCTTGTTTTTCAAAAACACCCAAAAATTGATTTTAGTTTGTTGTTAAAAGATACTTGTAGTAAATTCCATTTTGGCTCAAATAAAGTATAATAACCCTTGAAAAGCCAGTCGAAAGGGAGCACTGGATTTGTTTAATTTAAATTTAAATATAAGTTTTTGCTTTTATTAATTATGGTTTAAAAACTGATAAAAAAAAAACTTACGTTGATATCTTGTTCTTCCTCATTGATTTTAAATGCAACTCAGTAATTTCTAATGAGCAGATGGCTTAAATTAATTAAAATGCAGCTATCAGATTCCGATTTCCATGTTGGCGTTACAATTTACACTTAGCAAAGCATTAATTCAGTTTACACTACCCATTTGGGGAAGCTTTAATTGATATGTCTCATGGCCAATTGAACGCTCCAAAAGCTTTGAATTTTATTACCGCAAAAATATTGCCATTCAATATTCAAAGTTTTTCGTTTCCGTTGGCGTTTTCCTTCAACAAAAAAAAAACAAGACATTTTCACGGTCTGCAAATTTGTAACTCTATCTTACATAAGCTTGTTTTTTGTTCAACTTCTGTTTTGGGGTTTTCTTTGTTTTGTTTGTTTGGATGGCCCATTTCGCTGACTTAATTGCGGGTCTCAAGATTTTTCTTCCGGTGGCTCTGACTGACCCGCCAAATGGTCAAAGTGCCAACTGCTAATAAAGCTTTTTATTTAAGTCAAAAGCTGGGCATAGAAAACTTGTCTTAAGCTACAAGACAAGGTTTTGAAATTCACTTAATTTTGTTGCCAATTTTGCTGCCTACTTTAAGGGATTCTATTTTTGAGCTGAAAAAAATTAAACAACTTTTGCCTGCTATAAAAAATGTTGTTCACTACAGCCATAACTGTCTATAATATGCATTTATGTGCAATTTTTATTTGATTTTCTCTTGGTCAGCAGTGAACACACATTGTGACACCGCAACGTATACTTAATAATTCAGCAAAATATCACTCATAAGACTGGTAAACTGCATATCTAAGCTGTAATCTTGAGCGGCTGCTAATCTGCGTACACGAGACAACATAGAATTAGCCAATCGCTTAATTAACAAATAAATTGAATTTGGATATGATCTTAATAACTGTTAATGGTTCTGTCTGATTGTTATTGCCTCCCCCCCTGAGCCACCAAAACAACCATAGCTGTCTAGCATCACGCAATGGATTATTCTAATTATTTTTATTTTTTTATTCTTTTATTGCTGTCTATCTCTGGTCAATTACACAACGGATGTGAATATATCCACTAGTAAACTGGAAGCGTCTTCTGAGCGTCGTGTTTTTGTGGCTCAAGGTTATGGGCCAAGAACTGGTCTCGCAGGCAAACATTTCTCGGTACGAGTTGCTTTGCATAAAACGTAGATTAGCCCGCTCAATATGTAAGTTATGAGTTGCATTTGCCGGACAAAGTATTATACAAAATTGTTCCAGTGTTATTACATCAGAGTGCAGCGCGTTGAGCCATGCTTGCCCAATCCCAGTACCAAATCATTTGGGCGCATTAGGATTGAATTAAAATTGCTGGGATTGTGCGGGCCCCAATGAAAGTGACAATTAACAAACCAAAACTGAAGCTGTTAAATAAAAACTGTTTTTTTTTTGTTGTGTTTGCTCCGGACAGGCCGTCGTCGCCTGAATTTCCTCGAGAGGTCTGAGGCCCGGAGCAAATGTCTTAAAAGTCAAACTTCAATTACACCAAACGCCAGTAGCCAACTCCTATATATAAAACATATGGCCATATACATAGATGTGGAGTATGGAGTATATATGTTCGGCACACAGGTTGCCAAAGTGGACAATTTAATGTGGCTGTCATGTTAAATGCCAAGCCAATAATTTAAGCCTCATTTTTCGTGGCTAAGAAATGTTTCAGCTTGGTGGCAAACAGTTCAAAGGAAATCATGAAAAATTTCCAAATTGAAATGAGAAAATTCAGCAAATAAATAGAAAAATGAAGTGAAGAGTATTCAGAAAACCCCTAAAATCATTTTAGCATTCAAATCAATTTTATAAACACTTTTTAAGATTATTTTAAGGAAACAGAACTTGAAAATGGAAGTAAATTAAAGTATGTAATTGAATGGATTACTACTTTAATTTACTTCTATTTACTCTCGGTGTACAGATAAGTTAAATTTAAAGTTTTATTTTATGTTAATATGTAACTATCTTTTTTATGTATTATCTTATCTAAATATGTACATTTTCGATAGCCAACCCAATTAATATTTCTAGCTATTAAAAACTACAGTTAAACAAATTTGAAAAAAAACTGTGGAGCAGTTTTTAATTTATTTTTACCTATTCAATAAAAATGTTATTAGACCCAAACCAAATTTAATCTTGCAACCAATTTGTAGCCATAAAATTCTTTGCTGAAAACCAGATTAACTAAAAAATAAGGAAAAACTACAAGAAACGATAAACCTAGTATCCAATTTTAATCTACCACTCAAACGTAATAAATCTTTCGGGCAAAGTCCAATTGCATTTCATTAACAGTCAATTTAAAATAATCAACCATGATTACTTCCGTCTCGTGGAAAAACAAACTAACTTATTAATTGAACCCAACCACGTGCCCAACTCATAGTTGATCGGCATCGATCAGACTTCGATCATTCGAAGCGATTTGTGCAACCACAAATAAATCTATTTTTGCAAACCCTCTTGAACCGTGTTTTGAAAACCGCAAATAATGTTTTCCAGTAAACAAATGTATTTTTTTGCTGTGAGGCTGCGCAAAATTAAGTCATAAAAAGTTAGGCAAGTTGTGAGCATCCGTGAAACCGGCTAAACTGAAAGCACTTTGGCATCTATTATTGACTTTAGAGGCTGTTTAGTTGCTGCTGCTTGAATAGTTGCCAAATTCAGCATTCAAGCATTACAAAGCACCGAAGTAAGATATAATGGTAAAGTAACTATTTTGTTTAGGATTCTATTGATGCCCATGTGACCGTGTTGGTCGTAAAGATGCAAAGCCACACGACCCTTTCAAAGTGATTGTTGTCGCTGCTGGGACACGTTTTTTGGTGTGTTTTTTGAAAAATATTGCAAAATGAGTTATAAACATGTGTATGCCTGTGTTTGTGTCATTGACTCATGGAACAGCAAACCAGAACATTTAGTTTAGGGGGTACACCGGGTATTACTCCTTATTGAAAATATTTAAATAAGCAAAACAAGTCTATGTCAGAAATGGATCGCCAAGTAATTCAATTTTATAGCTATGTACATCTAATTCAACATATTGAACAGATATTAGTCATACTTAAAAAAATATTTTTAAAAACCATATCAACTGGTTTTAGTATGAAATTTTATTAATTAATTGTAATTAAACAGAAAGGAAAAGAGATAATGAACGCTTTAATATTTTACGAATGAAAACTCGTGAGTAAATAATTACTGTAATCTATTCTCTAGTTACATGAGCTGTCGCCAGTTTTTTATGTGTTTTAGTCTCTTCATATCATATCATTAGATCATATCTATGAAACATGTTAAGACAAGGTAAGAAAACATTAAAACTTGTTTATGCTAAAATTCTAATGTCATGTACTTATTCTAAATCGTATAGACCCCACCTACTCTCTAATTACATCCAAGCTCAGGCAGCTCCATTTGATGCGTCACTTTTACTATCGGCACTGAAAAATCTAAGCTCAAATTCGCAAAACCGAAAAATAAGCAGCAGTCGCGAGAGTCTGAGATATATATATTGGGGGATATATGGCGGGGATATAGAGGGGTGGCTATGGTTATTATTGCAATGGATTTTCGGATTTTGCAAGGCTGCTGCCTGCTGCCGATCACTGATGCAGTTTTGTTGCCCTGTTTTGTAGCCAGTTTTTGTGTTTTTGTGTTTTGTGTGTGATGTTTGAAACTAATTTGCGGTTACAAGAGTCGTTTTTGTGTGTTCATAGCCCAAAGTGCGGCATCATGCCCTTTTGTTCGCTGCTGGGTGCTTTACCATATTGAATCCAATTCAGGGAACTGAACTGCTCGCAATTTCTGTGTGCCAGCCAAAAGTTAATTAAATCACACACCGGGCCGGGGAAGAATTGCAAAAGAGAATGATCTAATAGTTTATTTATGCACACACGAATAAGCATATATAATTATGGGGCACCACGATTTTCGTGGTGACAATCTAAAATCCCAGACTCAGGCTCAAACTCAGACACATCTCATCTGCCGGCTGTCGTAAATACACCCAAGAGCACTTCAAACACTTCAGAGCAAGCGTGGCAGCCCAGTAAAGTGGTTCAGTTTTCAAGTGTTTGCCATTGATATTACGACCCACACATAGCAACTAGCAACTTGCAACCAGCAACTTTGCAACTTTGCAACTTGCAACACAAAAGTAAGTGGCTCTCTGTAAAAAAGGAAGTAGTTTGATTATTTCTTTTTTGTGGGAAACCTCCTTAATTTCGGTACTTTCATTTCTCAAACATTCAACAAAATGATGAAAAATCTTATTAAAACAAGCCCAGAAATCTGTTACAATTACTCAAAGTTTTTTTTTCCAAAATTTGCATAAAGCAAAGTTCAATAACATAAATTGCCAGACATCAATATCGCTTTTTTAGATTCGTTTTTCACGTTGAGCTTGATTTTTACCTTCGAATGGCCAAGGAAATTGAAACTTTCATATGCACAATTGGTTTTCCATGAACTTAACTTTGCCTGCGTCCAGATTTTTTTGTTTTTTTGGGCAACTTTGGCCTTTTTCCGCAATTGTCACATGCAATTGTCATTGCCATGGCTTGTGGCTCTGTTTTTTCGATTATTTTTTGTGACTCGAGATTTATATTTGCCCGGTGCCCATTTGGAGCACATTATGTAAATTCGGTGCATTTAAAACGGGTTTCAATTTTGTCGGTTTGCCGGAGCTCGGTTGTTCGCAACATTTCTGCGATTCGTATCGCATTTGAGTGCTTTTCGGCCCGCTTTGGAGCTGTCCTAGCCATGCATTTTAATTGGGAAGTGCAGTGCAACACGACGTGGCCAGGAAAGGCCATAAAAGGCCTGCTTTTTTTTTTGGTTGCTGGAGACTGGGAACTGGGGAAGAAAGGCCCAGCCAAGTGTGGTCACGAGTGCGGCCTTGAAAGCGGTCTTCTTCTACGGTACCCATGACATTATGCAATCCCCAATCGAGATCTCGTAGAAGGGGAAGTGAGTGAACCAGGTCGCTGAATTTAGACAACAGACACGAGATGGCGGCTTGAAATTGCGGAAGATGAAAAGGTAGATTATGGCCGTAATTGTCGTAGAATGCTGCCCAACGTTTAATGCGTCTCCTAAACAAAAACACGACAAACCAGACAAGATCATAAAAGTTTATTCAACTTGCCAACTATTTTCACAGGCTGCTATAGGGATGTTAGACTAATGATTAAAGCGATGTTAATCATTTTAAGTTCAACCCATTTCTGGAAACTTTATAAGTTCATAAAAACGTTTAAAGCTTGTAATGAGTTGTCTTTAAAAATCACGCTATTGAGAGTAAACTCAAGTCAATACTTTATATTTTATAAAAAAAGATTCCTTTTATTTGTTTGTTTAACTAAATAGAATTGTAAATCATAGTTAAATCGTGTTATGAGTTCAGAAGATTTTTTATTTATGTAATTCAACACAACAATGTAAGCTCAAGAGATCTGAGAAGTATTTTTTTTAATTAAAGTAATTCTTTTAAATTGCCTAAATGAAGCTGGGCTTAAAAGAAGTATGCGACAGCCCGTAATTTAATTACATTTTTCAATTATTTTTATTTATGCCATAATTTTATAAATACAGAAAAATTGTCAATTATTGTTTTCAATCAGTATGGTCGTTACAAATGACCTTTTTCTGCTTATAAATCCTTTATAACATTTTTATGTTCGTTTTGTGGTTTATTTTAAAAACTAGTTGTTAATGAAGCATTTAAAGAGAAATATACTATTACTGTCGAATTTAGCTGCACTCATCAAAAACGAATAACAATTTGTATTTTAATATTCGATTTGTTTCTTATATTGAAAAGAAATTATTCATTAATTTAAATGATAGTTCTGCAATACACCTTTAATTAAAACTTTCCTTACAATTTTACTGTGGTTAGCTTGTGATCATAAATACATACAAGTATTCATTGCAATATTCAAAATGCTGTCTTTATAAAGATAAAGATAATTTTCAAATTAAAACTTATTGTTTTTCTGTCTAGGTACTTTGAAATTGAATTCATTCCAACTGAAGCAACAATAATAATACCCGTATAAACTTACGATCATAAAGGCATAAACAATTATTATTGCAATATTAATTTTACTGTGTACATTAAAAAGACATCGATTAGTAATTTTGTAATAATTTTCAACAGTGCTATTCAGTTAAAACTTATAGTTTTTTTGTCTATGTACTTTGAAATGTAAGTCCTTTCTAAATGAAGCAATAATTGACAAATATATTTTGATTGTGGTATTTAAGAGCTTTCTCTGCACGCCCATATTGCACGCCCCTTTTTTTTCATTTCACCTGTCATTTCATCTTTTCCCCAGTTGGCAGTTAAACGAAGTTCGCAATTTGCAGTAACTTCCCCCAATTTACTATAAGGCCTAACGGCAGCTTAGCGCAACATTGGCGGCGACATTGGCTGTGATTGTGATTGTGATGATGTGAAGTTGTGAAGCTGCGAACTGTGGCTGCTGTTGCCCCCCAAGCGATTGCTATTAAGATAACAACAAATAGCATTGACTAAGGTTATATATCTGGGCACGACGAAGCGGCGGGGACGACAGTATATGTAGGTATGGTATAGCCTCCGATCTCGCAATGCTATACTGTATGCTTGACGTGCAACTGGACTGGGCACCCGCATAACTAAAGTTGGAGCTGCAGTGGCAGTTCATTATGTAAACAAAGCAAGGAAAACAAGAAATCTGGCCACAAATCAATAGAAAATGCAAGTGTTTTTATTTTATTCGCATCAACGTTTGCGTTGGCTTCCGACCGACTGGCAAAGCGACTGACTGACCGAGTGCGACTGTCTCTGTTTTCAACTCTGGATCTTTGGATCTCTGGATCTCTGAATCTCGATTTTCAGCCGGGCCAGAAAAATAACGCCAACCCGGTCCAGTTATGAATAAACATTCGCCGCATGTTTGTCGGGCCTAATGCGGCGCGTGTGTCTTTTGCCAGCCTGGTAAAATGGTAAACTTGGTAAATGGTAAAAGAAATGGTTTGTCGTCCGATATTTCGCTCTTTCGCCATTTCATTTTCATTTTATTACATTGCAATTAGCAAGTCAAACGAAACAAGTGGTCCTGGCTCAGCCTGTTTTTTTGATTTCTTTGGGTTGTTTTTCCCCAGTGCATTTGGCATTTAGGCAGTCAGAGATGGGCCGAGAAAACGTGCCCTGACCCAGCGTAGATTGTAATCGGTTCGGTTCGACTGTGAATTATGGAAGTCAGGCAGTCAGCCAGTCAGCCACCCAACCGACCCCGCAATTAACGACAGTTTGGACGGGCCCAGTTTCGGGTGCCAAGATTCGTGGCCCAGAGGGATCCAGTCAACATCAAGCATTCAGCATCCAGCATTCAGCCAGATTAATCTAGTTAGCTGCCATTGCGCAATTGCAGTGGGCGTATGCGTAGTCCAGCCCATGGCCAATCGAAAGTTGCAGTAGCGGCCTAATTAGACAATTTCTTTATTACCAACGAAGAATCCGAGACTGCACAGTAAAAGAAAATTACTAAGAATAATTTAATAATATCTTTAATTTGCAGTATTTTAAAAACTGGTAACTTAAAAAAAATCTCAGCTTAAATGGTTTATATTTTACAAAAGAAGTTATATTTACAAACAGGTAATTTTGCATTTAATTTTAAGTTATGATTATTTATTTACGATTACGATTTTAAATTTATCAATTTTCCAATATTTTTACAAATACCAAAGAAACAATAATTACAAATTAGAAATGTTCAATTAAAAAAAAAGTATAAGTGGTTAACAAATTTTAAGCAGATATACTTCTGGATATTATGATAAATAAATACCTATTTTAAAATTATCGATTTACCATTTTTTCCAATTGCAAGTAATATTTACAAATAAGCAAATTTGGCTTTTAAAAAAGTATACAAGCGATTTAAATGTAGATAAATGAAATAAGAACATAAATTCATAAATGAAGATATAAAGGAATGAAAAAATAAAAATCTTGTTGGCACTTATCATATGATTTCTTTCGGTGCTTGGTTGTTATTGCAGCCTTTCACAAAGGCCCCGAGGCAATTACAGCTGTAACCAATCAAAAGGGCATTGGTTTTTATGAACTGCAGAGCATCCGAGTGGGAAGACCTGGAACAAAACTGGGCAGAGGCGATGGCGATGGCGATGGGGATGGTGATGGCGTCACCTGCTGTTCAAATCTTTGCATTGCCAGCAAAACGTGCCTCGAAAAAGTCTCGAAGGGGAAAAAACGTTAACCATCATGATGCAAGAGAAAGAAAGTTTGCCACTCGCGCCTCATAAACGGCAATCTCCTCGGAGCCAAACCCATGGATTGAGAAAAAAAAGGGACCAGGTGCTTGGTCTGGGTCAAATGGCACAGAAAAAGTATGTTGTCAGTATTAAATTGATATTCACAGGTCAACAAACATGTATCAATTTTTAAAATTGTATTTAATAACTTTTTGGAGCCAATTTTTATTTCAAGATGTCGCATTTTATTTAATAATTTTATTGAAAAACTCATAGGAAATAATCTATGGTGTTCGTATTTGTTACTGCTTTATTGTATATATCTCGGACTTTATAAAATACAGATTAGGAACGGACAGGCGTATTGTCCACTGATTCAAATTAAAAAAAAAAACATATATATTTAATTCCATCAAAGCGAGTATCGTTTCTTATCAATTTTTTTTTCTGTGTGGCCAATTCACTTGGGACGGCCAGTCACGTTAGGGCATGTTAGCCAACCGTCAAAGATCGCCAAGATCCATAATGTGCATATTGTGCCCTGGGTTTGGGTTCGGGATCGGGGGCCTTTGTCTTTATCGACTGCTCGCTTTTTGACACTAAATTGCCTTGACTAAAAAAGACTTTGGCCCCTAACGAAGTGTGAAAGATGCTGGTCTTTGATTCGCTTTGATTGCCCAACTTGTGGCATGCACTCTATCCACCGTCCTCCGTCCACCGTCTACAGTCCACCAGTTTATGGCTGCTGTGCACCGTGAAGATGTAGTTAACAACGTGACTATGTAATCAGCATCGCTGCAGTTTGCTAGGAAGTGGCCGCTCCGAGCTTTCAACTCGAACTGCTGCCGTAACCGCAGCAAAGTGCAAATGATTTTCACCCCGGCCACTCCTCACTCCAAGGGGCCAAGCGCCAAACTCCAATCTCCTCCGGTCAAACCTCCCACTCTTCTCGACCACTTCGTTATGTTTCTTTTCTAATCAAATTAATTTCGGCAGCAGCTCATGCCCACGTGTCCGGTCAACATGGCATATGGATTGGAAGTTGTTTTCGTTTACGTTTTCGTGATCCTCTGGCTGCTTCAGATTGCGCATACGCAGCGTGGCCCAGCCGGGCATATTGAGTTTTACAATGATTACGGCAAAAATCATGACGACGAAAGGGTAAGTCTTGCATCTGTTTCCTTACACTGAGAATAAAATAATTTAAATCTTAAGAGGAGGGTAGCTTTAGGCTTTTTTAAAGGAGTATTATTCCATCATATATAATGTATATGATAATTTATGAAATTATGATCTATATTTTAAAATAATGTAATCAAACTTTTATCTAAATAAGTATTTAAGTAGTGGTCAAAGCTGTAGTTCTGTTAAAGAATTATCTAAAACATTCCGTGAAAGTAAAAAAGTACGAGTTATGCACTTGTATATGATACTAGAAAACTAAAAATTACAATATGTATGTTTCAGATCTAGCAAATACCGGAAATTATTGTTCTTTTTGATTTTTTTAATAAAAAAAAGAAGTTATTTTAATACTGTAAACAAGTTTTGTTTTACGTTTCCTTTTTTGTATACCACCTCATCAGACCTGCTAAATGTACTAATTGATTAGACACATATTATTTTGTTGGGTTACAAACTGTTGTAAGAAAATGACACAGATAGCTGGTACGGTTAGAAATGCAAATATAATATTTACTTAGAGAACCAAATCGCTTAATTGTTTTCTAGTAAATTTTGCCTCCTCTTAACAGCTCCACTACTCGCATCAGTATCACATTTCCGATGCGGCCAGTCAGGTGCACATCCTGCACCGAGAGCAGCGGAAGGGAGACCATGTCTCCGGCTCCTATGCCCACCTGGAACCCAACGGACACATTCGTAGTGTGCACTACGAGGTGCGAGGACCGAGCCGGGGATTCAAGGCCGTCGTTGAGCAGCGAACCGGGAACAGTCGGGTGCATCAGGCAATGGAATTCCGGAATCGGAATCGGAATTGGAATCCCAGGCAACCCAGCCAACCGATCCGGGCTCTTTCCCTTGCCGAGCCTGTGGCATTTGTGATTTAAGACTTCCAGCGGCGTGAAACCGGCCCGAAAATATAAACAACAGACGACAGGCGAATTATTTGTCTTGTTTCACGCAGCAGTAAATTGCAAAATGTTTAATTGTCTTTCAATGACTTCGCTGACTTGTTAAGTGAATTTCTAATTTGAAATTTAAATTGATTTCGGCCGGGGCTCATAAAATGTAAGCGAACAATTTTATTAAACTTAAAATGTAAATATTTCGGGGCTATATATCAGCGCAAAGCGGCGGAATGAATGAATAAAATTATTTTCCCTTTTGTTTTCGGAAACAAACAACTGACTAGAGATGTAAACGGATTTCGATTGTTATCTTTGAACTGCTTTTGAGAAAAGAAATTTATGGCTAACTTTAGCATCCCTATTATTTTGTAAACCAATCTTGCGGCCAGGCCTTTTAGCCTGAGTAATTGTTTAAGCCACCGAACGAACGGCATTAAATTAAACACTTAGTCAGCTACTTCACTTTCCGAGCCGAATATGAATTTCAGGCTTAATTATAATAAATTAGACCCCTCTGTGCATTGTTGACGTAGTGTTTTTGCGCCACTAAACCCGTTGACAAACCGATAAACTCGGTTAACGACACCTAACTAAGCAAACCGAAGGAGCCGGGCATAAATCAAATATTTTTGGATTGCAGAATGAAGAATGATTGTATTTTTGTTAGCATTTTGTGGGCTAATTATATTGTTTCCATTGCTGCCGCTGACGTCTCTTGGTCAGGGTCTGCGCACGCCGCTCTGTGATCAGTGTTCAGCGATCGCCGATTGGCTTAAATGATGGCCCAGAAGCCGTTGCCGCCGTTCAACGACACCGCTAATTGCCCTGGCTAATTGCCGTATGTTTTGTGTTGGCACTGCTTTTGTGCCCAGTTTTGAGTGCCTGCGGCTGTAAAAAGTCGTTCAGGAAAGTGCCAATCAGTGTTGGGGTCCGTTATTCCGTTTGACAGCTCACCTTCACCTCCGGCCTGCCCTTTTCTTGACCCCCTCGCGGGCAATTAAAATGCAATCTAGGCGCCATCTTCGTCGGTTGAGCGAAATTTCCCACTTTATTTATTTACTTTTTTTGCTCACTGTTATATCTCTATTAGCTTAATTTTTCTAACTTGCCTTATATGAATTTGTCAAGTTCGTCGCCTGAGCCTTTTGTTTGCCAAAGAAATATTTACGTAATTTCGTTTGTTTAAATAATATTATTTTAAGCTAGGTTGTTTTCCATCAGTAACCGTTTACCAAGTTCGTCGCCTAAGTCTTTTGATTTCCGTCAGGTTTTAACTTACCTATAATATGTTTATGAACTTAAGAAGTTCGTCGTCTTAGTCATTTTTTTGCTTGTGATATTGGGAAATTTACGTTTTTCTCTTTGCTTGTTATTATTATTTTTATTTTTGTTAGTTATCCGACAATTGACATATGACTCAAGTTCGTCGCCTAAGTCTTATGATTTTGTTTGCTTGGTTTTTGTTTTCACTTATTTATGTTATGTTATTAAATTATTATTATTTTTAATTGACTTGCCTAAAAGCAATCATCGTTCTCTAATTTAGATTCAAACAATTCGAGTAAAACACTTAAATGATATTAAATTCATTGACCAAGTGCTTCAAGTTTTATCTTTAGGAAATCGATTGTTTGCTGTAATAAATACTAGAGCTAGGTGTTAGACCTTAGTACTCTTTTATTTTTTAATAGTTACCACACGTGCTTAATTAATTTTGTTTTTTTTAAGGGACGTTTACTTTTTTTTGAAAAATCAAAAATTCAATTTATTTCTATCCAAACATTTTTACTTTCCATCAATATTTTTTTCCCACCACTAGTTAATTTCATTTAACTACTTTACAAGCCCACTTCGTATACATAAAATTCAATTAGGTTTTATGATGCCCATCCGTTGCGTAAGTACCTTAATTTCGATAAGTTGTAATTAAGAAATGTTTGCTTTTATAGCATTCTTTCTTCCCCAACAGTAATTACTTTAAGTAACCTTTTTTTGCAATTACCACACTTGACCATTGAAAGTTCGTTGCTTGAGTCTTTTGTTTTTGCAATAAATTCTTCCTTAATTTAAACTACTATATTTACCACACATTCCGATGCAAGTACCTTAACTTCGATTAGGTTTTATTATGGGATGTTTAATTTTATTAATAGTTATTTACAACATTGTGGGCAAGTCTTAAAGTTAATGTTCGCTTTAATGTTTTCTTGTTTCGCGATTGTATTTTTGCTGTAGCCGCAGCTGTAGCTGTAGCTGTTTGTTTGGCTGCTCAACTTGTCTGCAACGAGTTTTGCTCCTGCTGCAGCAGCTTTTTTGCCATCTTCTCCTGCTCCATGTGCATTTGGAGGAGCTTCTTCTGCTTCGAATGCTTCTTCAGATGGGCGCTCTTCTCGTGTGCCAGCTTGTTGTAATTGCCAATTGTTGTGGGCTGTTGCGGCTGCTGCGTGCTTGTAGATGTTGTCGTTGGGCTGCTGTCTGTGGATAATAGTGGTGATGATGATGGTGCTGGTGTGGCAGTGGTGGTGGAGGTGGTGCTGGTGCTCGTTGAGGTGGTGCTGGAAGTGCTGCTTGTCGTGGAGGAACTGAGAGCCTGAGCCTTAGCCTGAGATTGCTCCTCGTCGAGTCGCTTCTCGAGTTCCGCCTGCCATTCCAAGGCCTTCTCCTCCACCGGCAATTGCTGTAACTGCAACGAGAGATGATGCATGCGATTATGGACATGGACATGGATGGTGGTGGAATCGGGCAAGATGAATGTGAAAGGAGGAGTGAGCGTGGCTAAAACCCATTTACAACAGTGTCAAAAGCGGGGGGAATTTCGTGTCTGGCTTTAATCTCTTGTACAATTTCTATATATAGGTGTAGTTCTAAATGCAAAATCAGGTTTCGTGGTGATTCAGTAGCGCACAAATCGCTTGCGATTCTCGTATTGCCTTACATAGTTCCAGGGATACGCGTACTTGGCCTTCTCGTAGGCCTTGTACTTCTTGGTCTTCGCATTGTATTTGCCCTGCAGCTTGTCGGGCATCACAATGGCCGTATACTTGATGCCCACTCCGGGCACATACTGGGCGGCCAGTCCGGGCACGGAGGTCACACCGCCGCTGTAAGAACTGCTGGCCAGCTGTCCGTAGTTGTTGTTGTTGCCCGCGGGCGGTTGGTTGTTGTAGTTGGGTGGGGCATAAGGTCCGGCGGGAATCGCCCAGGTCCTTGGTCGCGAAGGCGGTGGTAGGACGTAGCTAAAGAATAAGGGAAATCAAAAAGGGGTTTAAAATAATAAAAACACTTCAATAAAGGATCTACCATTTATAGCATAAATTCAAGTTTCTTTTTTATAAAATTTTAAAATGTATAAGGTTTTTTGATTTTTTGATTACTTTAAAAATGAAAATAGTTATTAATTAATTACTGTTTAAAAGACATGGCCAAAGAAAAGGGAAATCAAAAGGGTGTTTTATATAACAAATACATATAACAATACCCTTGGTTATAGTTATTCTGTATTTACATTATTCTGATTGAACCCCAAACTATTTGTGTTAAGACAACTTTTAAAAATGTCTTCCTGAATTTAAACGTATTTGCTTTACATTTAACAAACTAATATGAAGAAAAGGTAAGAAAACTATTCAAAATTCATTTTCTCTATAGCTGACTGCCAGCTAAACTCCAAAAATACCAACAAATCAATGGATTTATATAAATTATTTACATACAAATATAGTGAGTGTCCCTTGAAGCTAGTTTTTCTGGTTAGCTCACAGCGAAACCCGTTTGCACTTACACATAGGGATTGGGGTTGGGTATGTCATCGCTCTGGTCCTCCCAGACGGGCGCTGGATCCCGGTACGGCTTCCTCGGTGGCTGCGGGGTGGTGCGCGGGGGGGGCGGTGCTATGGGTCCCGTGTTCGTGCCCCAGTCCACGCGGATGGCCTGCGCCTGGAGGCTGAAACCGGCGACTGTGGCGACTAGCAACAGCAGTGGGCAAGGAGTGAGCTGGAAAACGAGTTTTGAATGAATGTGTGAATCCTGGACAGCAGCAGAAGAAGAAGAAGAAAGTGCTTTGCATTGTCGTGTTTTGCAAATTACAACACGATTTCGTTTGCTGATATCATTTAGAATCGACCGAGATCGGGATCGAGATTAACCGATTCGAGATTCAAAAACACAAATGTCATAAAACCCGCTTCGCCTTATCAACGCAGCCTCGACTCGATGATCAATTAAAATCGCTTTATTTAGTCGATTGGCAAATTGGCAGACACACAGCGAAATCAATTTCAATTTGAGTTCGCACTTGAACTCAATTTGTGTGTGTACAACTCGAATGTAATAACAATAATTACATATGAAAACACCCCCCTCGTGTTTATAAAACAATGTCAAGTGGTAAATTGGTGCAGCTGCTTTAGGTTTTTTGTGTATTTGGATTTGGAATAAAAAAGGCGCTCATATATATTTAAAGAAATTGTTTACTTTATTGTTCGCTGATTACCTTGCACTTTACTCAGATGTTTGGCCTATGAATCGCAGTAACACATAAATATTTATGACGACTGTTTGTTGGGTTAATTGAATTACCCGCTCAAATAATAGATTTTTTATTGATTAATTGCATTCAGTTCAAGTTTTTATTCAATTCACTGTCGTTTGACACTTTTTATGCGATTCTCAAATCGATTACAATGGACAACACTGCAGAATGTGACATTATTTATGGTTAATTCTGTTTTTTCTCCCATTCCTGTTTTCTGTTTGCTTAACTAATGAGCCTTGAGGAAGTGTGTGCTTTAGACCGCCGCAAAACGCACCCAATACCAATGGCAATAGCAATAGCAATAGCAAACCCCAAGTGCCGGCAATATGGGGCTAAACCTTTGCGGCTAAATATGGCCATTAGTTACGTCACGGCATAGAGTTATGGTTCGGCTGGGAGGATAGGTATCTGGCTACAAATTTGTCAGCACAGTAAATGCCAAAAATGGCATCGATAACGTTGGTGTATGGATACCATCTGTTTGGCCTGGCCTGAGGTTTATTACATTTATTATTGACCAATTGTCGGGGCTGGGATTCTTTTGTCCCGTACAAATCGATCTATTTTTTTTCACCAATTTTCCCATGATTGACAATACAATTGATTAATTGTGAACTAATTGTGAGATAGAGTACAAAGAGAAAATCTGAAGTTATATTTAAAATTTTTATTTTTTTATTATTTTACATCCAGATATTAATGTTTTGAATTATATAAAGTAAGCCATTTAAAGACATGCCAAATAAAGAATTCAAATCAATAAGATATTTATTTCTATAATATTAAATCCATAAATTCCGCAAAGATTATACCTACAGCCTAAAATCTATGCTTCTTGCATTGTATGTTTCTACAATTAATCTATTTCTTTACAAAAAAAATAATTTTAAATTTGTATACATACATGAAACGATAATTAAGTGTCTTAACGCACAATTTAAGTCAATTAGATATGACACAATAACAGATTGTCTGCCATGTTTCTTTGTTTATATAAATAAAATATTTGCATGAATAAAAAATTTACATAAATAAAATAATAACCGAATGTTTCTATTAAACTTGTAAGTCAGCAAAATATGACTCAACATCCATGTTGTGCAATTATTGTTGTGTGCATTTGTTGGTCCATATGTTAAATGTTTGACCAAAACATAACCCCAATTTGGGATCGTGAGGTGGCTAATACTAATGCCAGCAATTATGTACAACACTTGCCCCGAAGAGGCAGCAGTTAAACTGTCAGCGGGCTCGGCTATCCCCCGATTTGGCTAATTGATTGACAATTTTGCATTGACAAGCATTTACTATTTATTTGTCATTGCTATGCACAATGCATATTGGCATATGTTACTGTAGAGCCGGCGGTTGCAGCAATACCTGTTCGCCCGGCCGATCGACTCTGTCATCGCTTTTGTGCAATCATAAAAAAACGGGCAGAAATCAAGGCCAGCATTAACGATCGATGCACAGTGTACATGCCAAGTTTTTGCCTGCTCTCCTTAATCCATGCTGGAGGTTGTCATAAAAATAAGGTGAAGTCGAAACGAGTCCAGAAAACTGATGGCAGCTAACCTTATTTAAAACCTAACCTGATATATAAGTAGAAATAGTGGCTGTCAAAAACTTCAACTTCAGTCTGAATTTAAATTAATTTGGTTGTACTGTTCAGTTAAAATAGACTTAGTTTGAAAACTTGAAAAGTAACCTAGTTTAAGACATATACTTATTTAAATTACTAGAAATTGTGGCGGTCATAAACAAAATTTTCAGTCTGGCTTATTAATTTGTACTTTGGGTTGTACTTTTCAGTTAAAAAGCTAAAGTTTGGTTATATTTTAACATAGAGTCACAAAAACTTGAAAGTAATGCAATTTTGGATTTTTCTAGTTTTTATTACTGTTAGTAGTAATAGTATTTTTTCATAAATATAAGTAATATATAACTATGTGTTATACTTTATATTTTTTACCAGGAGACAATAACACTCATTAAAATTACAGAAATTATAAGAAGTATATATCATAATTATACTTTTTTTCGGTGTGTGCTCCATTATGGTGCTTAAATACATAATTCCGAGACAGAAATCAAAGCGGCGCGGACAACTATTCCAATTCAGCCAGATCTCAACACGTTTTGCTCCGTTTTGAAAACCTTTTAATGGCTCCAGTTTGACAAGACCTGTTATTAGGCGGCATGAGAAGCCATAAACTCGGATTTGTGTAACAATGGTCGCCCTGCTGGCAGTGTCACTTCCGACAGACAAAATAGCTGACCCTGAACTTGAGTGGCTGGCGCATGGTGTGTCTGAGATTTTGAACTTAGATTTTCTCGTTTTTTATACCCTTGCAGAGGGTCATTAAATTTCAGTTAAAAGTTTAGAGTGCAGTAAATAAGCCGTTTCCAAACATATAATGTAAAAATATTCTTGATCGGTAATAGTAAAACTGTTGTATGAAGCTTATAAGTTTAATCGAACCTGATCTGAAGACTATATCATTCATGTTTTATAGAAAATATTAAAAAAATAAAGGAAACAATAATTATAACTTAGTTTAAGACATTGTATAAGTTTTTCATTTTAGAGTAGGGATTTTAAATTTATATAAATCGAACAATGATATTATATAGTTTCTATTCGTTACAGTCGTTTTATAGAATGTGTTTTTTTTTTTTTTGTAATAGCTGCAAGGGTATATAAACTTCGGCTTGCCAAAGTTGGCTTCTTTTTTCGTTTATTCTTGGCCGAGCTAATGGGCCCAGAACTGCGCAGTGGGTTGAACGAACCGTTCCGAAATGGAGGGACTCTCCTTCTGGGTCGTAATACCCAGAACTCGAGGCACTCCTCTGCGGGCCAAAGCGATCTTGATCGCGATCTGGTAATGGTAATGAGCGGCAGCCGCCCGCGGGCGTTCCACAAAACTCACTGCTCACTAATTAAAAACAATCAATAAAGACTAAGTAAACGCCGCTCCACACGGTCGGCATTACACCGCATTATCATTATCTTTGATTAACGCAGTTTAGAGCGAAAATAATCATTTATTATCAAGCTCGCTGACTAAGACTGTGGCTGCATTTATGTTTTGCAGCATGCTTTGTTCCAATCTGAAATTAAGTGCTTAGACAAAATATGTTTGCGAAATTTTGTGCAGCCCCAAAAAAAATGGAAATAAAAAAAACGAAAATAGAAGAAAAACAACCAGCTCGTGCTTATGTTTTTTGGGTCAAGCTTAGATTTAATTTAATGTGGCTAAAATAAAAGAAAAGCCTCCTTAGCCAGCTGACTGTGGCTTAGTGTGGATTATAGTTGCTTATGTTGGCCATTGGTGGTGTGGCTTACCAACTGGATAAATGGATAATTCGTCTGAGATCTCGGTATCTTATAGTTATTGTAAATCTCTTTTATTACACAACATTATTGGCCAAAAAGGCGAAGCAAAGTTTAACACTTGCATTTGGCGCGTTCAAATTGTAATTCAATAATAAGTATGCCATAATCATTTTTTAAACGCCCTAATTGAAATAATTTATATTGGCTTATGGGGGTACCCCTCATAAGTAGTTAGATATGACTGGGTTTTTTTGTTTCTTCAATTTTTTGTGGGTCGTGCTGGCAAAAAAACTGCAGTTTAATAGTGAATATGGGGCACATGTATTTTTGAGTTACAATTTGTGAATTGCAGTTTTTGCAATGCGGGTAAAAGGCGAAAGCCCTCAAACGATAATGACAAATGGTTATTCCCTTAGCTTTGAAATCGTGTCATTAGTGTGGGTGATGAATGTAAGTCAATGATATGTGGGGGCTTAATAAAAGAGGGTATATCCATTGATTATTGAAAGCAAAGAAGAGATTCGAAAACAAAAATCATTCATCAATCAAAGTGCTTTCAACAATCGCACAAGGTGATAGGTGGTAGATAATGAACTGTCTTCGAAAGAAAGAGATCATGAGGGGATTACTCCGGTTATGGCGCTGTTATTAAATCGCAAAATTAATTATACTCTTTGCCTTATATTTTATATCTTTAAAAGGTCATGAGAAGATAATCAAGCGATCACGATTGGAAATGGATTAACGAAATGAGATGATAATTTATTACAAAACAATAGACGCATAGAGTTGATCGAAATAAAACGTTTATCATAAGAAGATGTTACACAAAACAAACAATAATGAATAAAAGAAGAGGTTTAAAATCTTCCATTTCATTTCCTGTTTCTTACTTGTGCTTGAGCCTATAATTATATTCGACGTTTTTAATATATTTTTTTTGCTTGCTTTTTTAATTAATTAGCAGTGTAGCTATTCTTCGTTTAGGATTTTTTCATCCATCAACTTAGCCTTGTCACATTCACTGAGTAAAATCGTATTTACTCCCAACAACAATTACCCACTAAAAATTAACATAAGCAATAAATTTCTAGGAAAGTACCAAAAACCATACTTTTCATA